TTCTCCAGAGGAGCAAGGAGGGGCTGGAGGTTCATCATTGTTTGCCTGGTGGTTAACCATCGGACACTTACCTGACAGGACGACCAGGGCTAAAAGGTGACAAACCCTGTGTACCCACCAATTGAAGTGTGAATAAGAAAATGATGGTACATACGGACAACGGAATACTACAAAATATTAGAACAGCAGTTAATCTGTGAAACATCTCAGAATGTGGATTAACCTGGAGGACATCATGCTGAGTAAAACAAGGCAATTACAAAAAGACAAATATTTTATAGGACCACTATTATGAAAATCAGGAGCCCTAGTGGCCTACTGTTTACGTATTGGGCGACTAAGCACAAGGTTGGCAGTTCAAAATCACTATCACCTCTGAGGGGGAAAAACTAGGCTTTCTTCTCCTATAAACACTTCCAGTCTTGGAAATTCACAAGGCATCCCTGCCCCGTGCTATAGGGTTGCTGTGAGTCAGCATTGACTTGATGGAGTAAGTTGACTTTTTTTCTTTTATGAAATGTCAGGAAATGGTTTTGGATACTAAAAGAAGTATTATTTGATGGTAAAAAGGCTTGGGAAAGAAAAGAAGGGTAACTCACTAGTTGGAGAATAGATACACATACACTCGAATGAGGGGGAAATAAAGAAAACAAGAACGTCAGCAATATAAAATGAGTAATATCAGTCTCTTTATGTACAATGCATGGAAACTCCATATCCAAGGTTTAATATCTTTAGAACCGGGGTCCTCCCTCCTGGTGGATTTATAATACAAATAATGATGTCAACAACCCAAACCAATCATACTTCCCTACTTGTTGACTTTTGTGGACAATGCCAGGGCCTTGACTGGCTTTCAACAACCTCATAGCTCCATTAAAACTATTTTCCTACATAAAAAACAATAATCAAACCAGTTCTCTTGTTTCCCTATCTTATCCTCTTAGAAACTGAGGATCAAAGCTATGATGTACATTTTTCATATGCATGCCGTTGTTCCGTGTGCAATCAAATCAATTCTCTATCATAATAACTTTCTCTGAAAGAGTAGAGCAGGTCCAACGAGTTTCATAATCTGTTATCTCTCTAGGATCCGTGGTGGCCTGGTGGTAATTGCTTGGGTGCTGACTGAAAAGCACACGTTCAAACCACGAGTGGCTCCACGGGAGAAGATATGGCCGTCATCTTCTGTAAGATTTACAGTTTTAGAGAGTCTACGTAATAATTCTATTTGGTCTTAGTGGGTCCCTGTGAGTTGGAACAACCTGACAGCAATGGGGTTAGTTTGGTTTTATCATTTCGGGAGAAGACCATCTGGTCTTTCCTCCCATGGAACCACTGGTGGGTTTGAACTGCCCGTGTTTCAGTTAACACCCAAGTTCATATTGTGCCCCTAGAACGCCCTCTATCACAGTGTCTCTCACTATCATCCAGCCCATGCCAACTCAGCTGTGACTCATTTTAATTCAATCTTAAGGTCAAAGTTCAAGATGTGTAGCCACAACTAAACTCTTATGCGAATGATGTGCTTAATTCCCAACTCTGAGATCTTTATTCAGTTTTACATTATTATTCATAAAAGTTGACAGTTAATTAGGGCATAATCATTAAAAATATACAAAGAGAACCTTTAAATAGTAAATAGCTAATTTATGTTTTAGTGTTTTGCATACTCAGGGGTTTAAACACTTCTGAAGAATAGATGGATTTTTTCAAAGATATTTAAAGATTAATGAGCTAGTTTATGAGCATCCATAGCTCATCATAACATTCTCTTTTTAGAATATATGAATATCCTGAAGGAATTTTCATCATACATATAGACTAAATGAGAAAGATCATTTACCCATTGTCTAGTATATGACATTGATATGGTCTATCAATATTTACACAAATAAATGAAAAGTGCCACAGAAATGATATAAACAATTACTGGGGAAAGTAAAGCAGAAACCATGACTAATTTCTGAAATTCATAAAGAAATATTTAATAATCCATTGTGGGGCTGAAGAGATTTATTGTTATCACGGCTCTATCTTCAATTATTAAACTGATCTAAAGCAATGCAATTTTCAATTTATGCATATTGCATGACTAATTTTGGCATAGACATAGAGGAACATTTCTCTCAGCTCATGAGTCCTTCAGTTTAATATAATCTATTTATTACTATTTTATATCAAAAGGATGTCAACATATATCATGGTTCAGGAGAAGGAAAATTTGTGTCTTATTTTTGTGAGAACAAAGCACTATAGATCCCATTTGGCCTCGTCCTACGCAAGGCACAAAACTTGTTTAAAAACAAATCTGGTCGATTCATTCTCCTTTGCTTGTTAAATATCAAAAGTGTGTTTTAATATGATCAAGCATTCTACATTACGATAAGATGCAGAAAGGAAATGAGGAAAGCATTAGCTTGTGAACAAAAGATATTGAGAAGCAGTACTTCATTGATTAGCTTGGGCTTTGAAGAGAGAACATGTTCATTTCAAATCTTGCCCCCGTCTTCCATTCTGTGCTACAACACTTCACAGGACTGCTCTACTTCTCTTGCTGTCTGTCATCTAGTCAATTCTGGCTCATAGCAACCCTGTAGGACAGAGTAAAGCTGTCACATAAGGTTTGTAAGATATTGAACTGGAATCGACTCAATGGCAATGGGTGGGGATCATTTACAGAAGCAGACAGCGGTGGGTTCAAACCACCAACATTTGGGTGTAGAGTTGAGTACTTTAACTACTGTGCCACGAGGGCTCCTTCTTTCTCTTTGCGTCAGTTTATTCAGAGGTTCAAAATGATCAGCTACTTGGTGGGAGAATAATCAATGACCTACTGCCTTAGAAACTATACTCATGCCTGTAGTCATATAGGATAGACTAGAAATGCCCCCTCCTACGGTTTCTCGCCACACTCTTTATGGAAGCAGCCCGCCACATCGTTCTGCAGAGCAGCTGACGTATTCCAAGAATAGGTCTTTCAGTGAGCAGCTAAGTATTTAACCATTGCACCACTGGAAATCTTCTTTAAAGATTTCGGTGTAGGAAAATTTATGAGAAAATTCTACCTGGTCATGTCATGTTGCTATGAACTAAAATAGGTTTGATGGCCCATTGCAACAACAAAAATTTCAAAATAACTTCACTAGAGATTTCTGTGAAGAATATATTAAATAAGTATTTAAATTATTTTGCATGGACCTACAGAGTAGTAAGCAGTAAGTAAATGATAACCATACTAAAAGATGAAAAGGTTGATTCCTTATTTATCATCTTCTGGTGTTTTAGCTCATATTATTTCAATGAATACTAAAACAATACATTTTTCCCCAGTGATTAAAAAAAATACTTATAAGAAAAATTCCCCATGAAATATCCTGAGAGGAAATGTTTAGAGGAATGGTAATAGCAGAATCAGAGAATCAGGTGACCATCACTGTTTTTTATTTGTGTCAATGTCTATTTATACCATTGTCCCAACACAGGTTTTATGTCTTGTTTGGAGTTGATAAAAATTGTTCCATCTATTTTATAATTATATCAGAGGACATATATTATATTAAAGTTTATTTTCTATGAGTGCACATCAGTAAAATTTACCATTACTTTCCTCCATTTGAACAAATGAACTTTCCATATCATTTCTCAGTTTTACAAAGCTTTTTGTTGTTGTTCTAAACCATCATGTGAGTCAAATGCGTTTAAAAGAATTAAAATTTAAGTATGGGCAGGCCATTTTTTCCTAGGGGGTGACAATAAATATTGTTAAACATATTCCATATTTGACAATGTGTTTAATATGTGTAGTCATACCCATATCATTGACTCCTCTACAGGAAAATCGAGAATTGAAAATTGAGATTTGAGAATAGAAAATTCTGCTTAGCTTCGATTATAAAAACAAACAAAATACTCGAATTTTCCAAACCATTTAACAATACATGTTTAGTAAGACAGAAATCAGTTCATAAGACCAAGATTAATATGATCATTTTTTAAAAATGTAATAATATGTCATTTAAAACAATATTTCCAGATATTCTGGGACAGGGAGAAAGCAACTTCTGACTGTACAGTGTTTACATCTATAAAACTCTATTAGAAACCAAAGTGATTGTGATGATCCTGAAGTACTACAAGATTAGCAATCACTAAAAGGACCATATGTTAACTAGTATATACTCAACAATGTATGCTAGATATAAACACCCAATCCAAACTCACTGCAGTTGAGTTGAGAGGCCGACTTGCAGGTACCCTATAGGACAGGGAAGAACTGCCCTTTGGGTTTCTGAGACTGTAACTGTTTACAGGAGTAGAAAGCCCAATCTCTCTCCCACAGAATGGCTGGTGGTTTCGAACTATTGACCTTTCAGATCCCAGTCAAACTTGTAACCAGTATACCAAGGTATTTTTGAAATTTATGCCTTTCTATGTATATTTTGTGACTACAAAAAGTAAAAACAAAATACAAGTTTACTTGCTAACACACATTTCTAAACTATTTGCTGTAAAGTAAATGTGAACATAGAAACCTGCTTCTGATTTGAATTGCATATATTATAGTATGGAAATCTTTGTATTTACTTTTAAAAATCAAAATTCAGATCGATCTCAAAGAGATGCAATGCCTTAATAGTTCCATACTGGTAACATCTACAGTCTATATGTAATTTAAAATTGTATGTGTAGAAGGAGAATTAAAAGTGTTTGTGAAAAATATGGAATTGAAAGAAAAATAAGGAATTTTCCCCCTGAACTTCTGAAGACCCTTTGTATTTCAGTCCTGCAAGCTGATGGCGGCAGTTATCAGTCAATTTCCACAGAGATGTTTCCAGTACTTGTGCTCCAGATCATGTTCATATTTAGATAGAGTATATTATAGTTTTGTATTTAACACAGAGCTATTGAAGATGAAATTGAAGAATTGAGAGAAGCAATATAAGTAATTCTGATAGAAAATATGTAGCATTACGAAGCATTAACATTTATATACTCACCAATACAAGTAGGTAAGGAATCATTCCACTGGGCCAAAGAATTAGGCACTGTGTCGCATCTGATTGCTAAGGACCCATGGAGAATGTAGCCTGGGCTGCATTCAAAAAGAACCAATGAACCCACTGCGAATTCATTGCCAATCCTTCTTCCAAATCGTGGCTCCGGCACAGAGCTGCACTGTGTAGAACTCGTTCTAGGAACAGCTGCACACAAATATTTGCTGCCTTTAATTTCATATTTGGTAGGGAAATATATATTTTAAATGTGACTAAATAGATCAAAGATGTTTTCATTTTTTGCTAGAACTTGATTTAATAATTTGAATATTTATGTTAACATTTAAAAGTAAAAACTATAAAATACAATTTAAAACTGAATACAAATAGTGCTATCTATAGCCATAAATTGCTATTACAATTCAGAAATTTCATTTGAACACATTTAATTTTAATTCTTTTAAACAATATACTTTAAAACAAAATCCCCCCAAATAACATTAAGTATGTTTTACTATCTTTGTTTCAGTAAACTTTTAATTAATATTGTAATATAATCTTAGAGTTAAACATTTTAATTTATGAAATGAAAGCTGAACCACATTTATCTATCTATCAATCATCTATCTATCTAGTTTAGTTTTTTTCTTTTAAAACTGGGATATACAGCCAAAAAGTGTGTTATGTTACAAAAGGTAATATTACATTTTTTTCATTGTTTATTCCTTAACACCAATTTAAAGAGCAACACAAATAGTACTAATTTAATAGTATGGTGACAAACTTAGGACTTCAAAATATGTTTGCTATTGATAAAAAAGTAACTAAACAGAACTTAAATCCAACAGATTAACAACAATAGACATCTTTACTTTAATAATAGTATAATATCAAATTGAAATTGCATGTAGGTTTTATAGTTATGTCCTTCAATTGTGACTTGTTTGTTTGTTTAGTAAAATAGAATGATAACAGGATGTTTTTTCTTTTTAAAACACATACAGATGGGAGTAAAGAGACTGACGACAGCCCAAAATGAGATGATGAAATCTAAATAGATCCATTCCTATCACATGAATTATATTTTAAAAATCTCTCTGTGTTTCAAAGTGCCTTTTCAATCACACAATACCTCAATTTGCTAATAAGGGAAATACTATTATAATGGAACAGTGTAATATTAAACCCAAATGATAAACGGGACAAGAGAGACTAAAAAGCATCTAAGAGGATCTAAGAGCATAAATGTTATAAAAATCTTAGGAATAAAGTTTAAGATCCATATGAGAAAAATTAGTAAATCATCATACATCACTTAAGCAAAATATTTCAAATAATATTATTTAATAGCATAAAATGTTGCTACATTTTACAATTGTCTACAGGACTACGAAAAACTGTGTCAGTAAATTTCATCTGCTCAGAAATCTTCAGTAACTTAGATACACTTTTGAATTTTTCTGAAAGAATGAGAACTCGTAACTGTAGTATACAGTAATGTTATCTGGGGCATGCCTAAATATAACCACAGATGCATTTTGTACATTCTTAAATTTAGAATAGTAGGCTATGAAAAACTGTGAAAATATGTGGAGAGTAAAGAATTGTCAGGGGAAAAAACAGGTGTTCGGAAAACAATATATGGGAAGAAGGGCCATCATACACCTAAATTGAGGACGAAGATGGAAGTAGAGAGGCCTGATGGGACTTTGGTCCTGATGACAGCGCTCTAGTGATAGTGGGGAAAGACAGAGTAAAACTATTTAAAAATGAAAACGAAACAACGGAGCGGGGGAGGGGGAAGTAAACCTTTTGTCTCTCCTATATGGTTATGACGATCTCATTGTTGAGAAACTGAACATAGCATGGAAACGGATATCATTCCTTAGCGTGTTTTCTAGGCTACAGGGTCACTTACCTTGATAAACAAAGTGAAATCCCTTAGCTGTTATTGGTCCAACTGAAGTAAATCGAATTGTGATCTGATTACCTGAACTCAGTGGAAGTGATTCTCCTACTCAACAAAACAAACACTAAGATATCATAAATAATTTTCATTCAGTAAACCTAACAAGCTACATTAATTTATACTTGTCATTTGAAAACATCAATCTATGCTCCATCAAAATTACTTTAAAATATCCTACTTCTAACAATATATTCTCTATGGGTTCAACTTCAAGTGGAACTTTTTTTTTTTTTACCAAAAAACTTTAATTACAGTTTGATACACATTGCCTCATACTTTAAGGAGTCCTTAAATATTTTATAGTACATTAAACATAATAGACTAGGTGATTCAATATTATATTTTACTTGGTAATTACAATCCTAGAAAATATTTGATTTCTCAAGTTTTTTAGTTACTAGTCATTGTGCATCTCTTCTTTAAAAAAAGTGATTCTATTTTCAACTTAATATTTTTTTTATTGGATGATATAAATCTCAACTTTCACTAAAACACCAATCAAAGGCAGTCTTGCGTCAATAACTGAGGCATGGCAGTTTTATTAAAGGATACCTGAATGGGATCCTGAGAGGGAAGATAACAGAGAAGATTGCTGAGTTGGCCCATCATACACCTCAACAACATCGTGGAGTGATGTCTGGAAAAATACAAACTGGCCAAACACCACTGATCAACAGGAACCAGGAGAAGCAAACAATTCACCAACCATCCAAAAAATAAAGTGAAAACAAAACAAAAACAAAACAAAAAAATAGAAAGAGGAGGAGAGAGAGAACAAAGTATTACAATATAATAGTCATCTTTTTTTTCCCTATCTCTAACAAAAAAGGATAAATGCCAATTGGTTGATATCCCTCATGTTTATATGCCAGGTCATAAAAATAATGACCCTTACCTAAAAAACTGTAAAAAAATTAAGATTAATTTTCTTAAGTAAATTGAATGGATTTGGCATTTAATTGAGATCAGAAATCATGAGGTCGGTGATTAAAGCTTTCTAATAGCCACTTTTTTTCCCCCTTTGGTAGTTTGGTCCTGTTTTACTTTGTGACTCTCTTCTCTTTTTCTAATTTTTTTCCTCCTCTTTGAGATAGAAAAAATTTAACTCTTACTCCTTTTAAGTGGCATTCTTTTATTAATGAGTTACATTAGAAAATATCAGCTTTACTCCTTAACATTTTAGTTAAAAATGATGTCTAAAGACTTCTTGTTAATCATCTTCTTCCCCAAAAGTAAATATTATCTGATTCATCTCTAAATCAACATATTATAATTTTTAGGAAAACATTTTTGTTTTATGGGAAGTACGGTTCTGAAGTGCTCACCAAAAGAGCATTAAAAATGCCTTTTTATTTGATTTTTATACTTGTCCTTTAATTATGTAATTACTAAATTTATGGATGGAAACTATGTAAAACAATTCAACACATCTGCACCTTTCAAGAAAGATCATGTTCCAAACAGAAAGCCGATTTAACTATGAGTGGAAAGGAAATAATAAAATGCCTAATAAAATTTATCATTATGTCATTTCTCTGTATGGAAAACAGTGGGGTTTAAAATATACAAATATTTCTAAAATTTTAACACCGTCAAGTGTAGCTAACTTTGATACATTCAAACATCACATTGCTTTATTTAAACGACTTACTGATGTAGTCAGGTGCCATCACGTCTGGTCCATCTCCTTATCTTTTGTACAATAGACTGCACAATATTCTGCCATTGTGAAAGAACGGATGCTATGTTTGGGCCCATAATGACAGCCACTGGGTCAATCTCATCGAGGACCTTTTTGGTCCCCGCCCCCCTCATACTCATACTTAAGAAAGCACGGTGTCCTTCTCCAATTGAGGGACTCTCCTGATACCATTTCCAAAGTATGTCAGACAAATACCACTACTCTTGCTTCCGAAGAGCATTCCGGCTGTCTTTCTTCAAGAGAGATTTGCTCCTTCTCCGCAGTTGATGGAAGACTTCAGTAGGCTTCGCCGACACCATACTGCAAATGCATGAATTCTTCTTCAGTCTCCCCTAGTCATTGTCCAGCTTTGACATACATTTGTTGCTGTTGCTCTTAGGTGAGTCCGTTCCAACACATAGTGACCCACTTCATGATAGTATGGAGCGCTGCCCCATCCCGGACCATCCTCAGATTCGCTGTTTTGTCTGGTTCCATTGCTGCAGGCCCTTCTTACCTCGGACAACAGTGAAAATACCGTCGCTTGGGCCGGGGGCACCTGAGTCTTCAGGACGACATTTCTGCTTTAGCAATGCAAAGGAATCTTTGCAGCAGATTTGCCAAAAGCAACAAATCATTTGCTTTCTTGACTGCTGCCTGCATGAGCATTTATTGTGAATCGAAGTAAAATGAGATGCCTGCCAACTTCAAGAGCTTCTCCTTTTGTCGTGATCTTTAACAATTCAATTGTGAGGCTTTCTGTTTCCTTAAAGTTAGCTGGACATTACCTACATACATATTTCTTAAATGTTTCTATTGTCTTACACTGTAGTTGGCTTTTGAAATTCAGCTGATAATCCCGATGAAGATTATATAAGTTTGCATGAAACATGTTCCGTTTTCCATAAAAGTACGAGTGTCTATGGCATAAAGCTATTTTATTTTTTTGACCTGCTAAACTAAGCTGGTGGCCTTAGTCCAGTTCTTTGTGAAGTAAATGCGTTAGTAAATAAAGTCATTTATTTGAACAATTTCTGAAAATTAAAGTGCTGAAATTATAATAAGCCTTCTAAAAATAATTTCTAGCAGTCAGGAACATGTGTCAGCTTTAAACAACTGAGATATATGTGGTGAATTATTTTAATTGTTTAAAAGTCATAGGCAAAAATTAAGTCCAGATACATTTTAAAAATCCATTTGCTCTCCCTTATGATCCATTTAAATTTGTTTTAGTTTTTAATATTTTCTGCTTTCCTTTCCATTGAGGTCTTTAACTTTTTACTTTGTTATTCTCTTTAGTTTTGTTTTAGTTTGTTTTTTAATATCTGTGTGTGTGAAATCCAGGCTAGGGAGCTCCACCAAGACAGTAACTAGATTCATGTTTCCTCGGGCGGATGGCAGGGGAAGCTGGGGGTACATGGGGAGCTAAAAATCAGGAGTACAAGGGTGAAGAAAAAGTTCTCAAATTGATGGTGGTGCGATGATTTGATTGTACCACTCTGCTTGAACTGATCGAACTATTTAATTGTACGATATGTGAATAACATGCCAAGAAGATTGTTGGGGAAAATCCACATTTTGCTTCAAACTCAAGCTATTTAAAATGTAAAAGACAAGTAAATTATAAATGTACCACTAAACTTTTTTTGTTGTTTCTTTGAGTTTTTTTATTTTGGTTAGATTGGTGTTTGGATGATTTGTTTCTAAATGTGTCTGAAGATGTTCAATTACCGGGTACATTTTTCTATTATTTTACTAAGTGGGGAAAAACATCACATTACTCTGATCACAAGAACATTGCTAAATCGACTACATTATTAGCAAACAGAAAGCATATCTGTTCCTCTTCTTATTTTTCTGTTATGGCATTAAACAAAAATGAAAACAACCTTCTTTGAACTTATTCTTTCTAAATATCTCAAGAATACATTAGAAAGCATGTTAAATTTCCAAGCAAACTACAGTATTTACAAATAATCTCTAAAACAATCAAAAATACAAATACTTCAAAGTCACTGGAGTCTCTGTGGCTTGTGGTGGAGACAATGGATCATTGCCCCGAACAGACTTGGCTTACATCATTCCTAATCTATACATGTCTTTCCATCTATTGATAGTCTACATAGCTTTCTATTTATGTTTATTTGAATTATCATACTGATTTCACCAATTAACTGAAATAAAATGTTAGCTATGTTTCCTTTATATTTGGACTAAAGCAATGATTATACCCTATTTTATTTTAAAAAATCATTTTTAACACTCATCTAGATTCTAGTCCTTCAATGTGATGTCTGCATCACTCTGAATTCTGTAGTGAGTCCCCGTATTTGGACTGATTATGCATGTGTAATGAACAAGCACTCTCCCTTCCTCTCCTGGTTTCCATATGCAGGGAGAGAGATGCATCTCATTTCCCAGCTTGCTCCTCTTGAGATCTGCATATCGATACAAAAGTGCTTTGGTCTTCAGCTACTAGAGTGTAAATACTAAGTTAATAATAAGGAAACAGTTTAAGAGACATTTTTGTTACTGTTTTTTTTTGTTTTTGTGTCTTTACACATAAAGAATGTTAAAATGTGTTTTTTTAACATCTTAGTAGGGTTCTCTAAATACAAAATTCCCTGAAAAACAGTTACATGTATTTCTAGGTTCTTCAGAATCGGAAGGGGGAAAAAAAGTCTAGGAACGCAGAAGTTATTGTAAAATATCACTACAAATAAGACTATGAGAATTATTTATAATTCTCTCTGAAACGAACTCTGAGTCTCTTATTTTACATGCCTTTATTCTAAAGCATGTTCATTAAGTTAGCCAATATCTAGTTAGTCTATTATTGTGCAGTGTAGCAGGAACTGAGTTAAACGATGGTATTTAGAGGTGATCAAAACAGAAAAGTTATCTGCTCTAATATCTCATTAGCTATATTTGTGATTGCTCAAGTGACAGTTCACATTCACTGTAGCTGTGAAAAGAACTAAGAAATAAATCCTGGTGGTGCTGTGGGGTGAGGATTGGAGTGCTGTTTGCAAGGTCATGAGTTCAAACTCACCAACCGCCCTGCAGGAGGAAGATGTGTCTGTGTCTATAAATATTCACAGTCTCAAAAACCTGAAGGATCAATTTTACTCCATCATGTTCGCTCGCTGCGAGTTGAAGTGGACTCCAGGACAGCAATTTCCATTTTGGGTTGTTGTTATATCAGCAAACTAATCAAATTTAATTAAAGACCAGAGATACTATACTTTGAGAACATCTTTTAAAGGAATCACTATGCTAACCATTTAAACTAGCGGTTCTCAACCTGTGGGTCACGACCCCTTTGAGGGTTGAATGACCCTTTCACAGGGATCACCCGTTTCATAAAAGTAGTAAAGTGACAGTGATGAAGTAGCAATGAAAGTAATTTTATGGTTGGGAGGTCACCACAATATAAGGAACTGTATTAAAGGGTTGCAGCATTAGGAAGGTTGAGAACCACTGATTTAAACCCACTCCTCATGTCCAATCACAGCCCTCCAATACTTCTAATGTGCAACATGTAAAGGATTGAATTTTTTTTAAATGTATATGTTTATTAAGTCACCTGTATTTTTGTAATCCTGATCGGGGTTCTGGCATTGAACCAGGCTACATGCAGTGTTGCTAACTGTAAGGAAGGTCAGTAGTTTGAAGCCACCAGCCACTCTGACAGGGAAAAATGAGGCTTGACTCCTGCAAAGAGCCACAGTCTCAGAAACCCACACGGGCAGTTCTGCTCCGTCCTGCAGGCTTCTTCTGCGTTAAAATTGACTTGGAGGCAAAGGGTATTTATAGAGCTCTAGATAAAGACATGTACATATACAAATATATTATATGAGGATGGGGAAATAGATCTATGAGCCTACATTTATAGGTTTGGTATTAAGGTAGCAGAAGGACATTGGGCCTCCACTCAAGTACTCCCTCAACACAAGAATACTTTCTTCTAGTAAATTGGCATTCT